GTTTGAAGAGAATAACATCGGAATATTGCAGTGGCCAGCACAGAGCCCCTACCTCAACCAGATAGAACATCTTTTTTTGGATGAACTGGAACGCAGAATTAGGGCAAGACCAGGGTGGCCCTTTTCAATAGTGGGGCTTACCAATGCTGTAAAGAAGGAGTGGAGCACAATACCACCAGCTTTCTACCATAAATTAGTAGACAGTCTTCCAGGATGCATTGAAGCAGTGATTAAGACCAAAGGCGGGCCAACACGCTATTAGTTTCTTGGAATAAAGACATGTTTTATTCATAACTACCCGCGTCCCATGACTTTTGGTAAGCTAATGTATATATATATATATGCTTATATTGCTGCTTGTTTGTTGGTGTTTTTTGTTTGTAATTAAGCATAAGGCTACACAATCGGTTATCTGTTTTCTGCCCACCACGGGTATCGTTTCTAGCGTTGTAAGTCCGATGACATACCGCTGTACCACAGGGGGGGGCATTATATTACTGAACCAAAAAGTGCTCTGCGTCATCCAGTAAATCTTGAATGTAGCAAAACTCTGGACTAAAAAAAGGATAAAGAAAATTTCTCTTATTACTCAAGACAATTTATGAATCAAATAGGAGTAAAATACTGCGCCATTGTAACTACATAGTAATAGAACACATGATGATATATGTAAATGACACAGTGGCAAAGATTGTAACTGTTCAGTGACAGAACACATAATAATATGTGTGAATGGCACAGTGGTAAAGATTGTAACTATTTAGTAACATAATATGTGATGATATGTATGAATCACACAGTGGTAAAGATTGTAACTGATTCATACATATCATCACATATTCTGTTACTAAATAGTTACAATCTTTATCACTGTGTAATTCATACATATCATCACATATTCTGTTACTAAATACACAGTGATAAAGATTGTAACTGTAGTTAGAAGACGGATGTTCGGAAAATATGACCATGGTAAACTTTTTTTATCCAAAAAAATCAGATGACAACGAATGTTACTTAGTGATTCTCACAGTTTTTTAAATATCTACTAGGACCTGGAATATGAACAGAGGCTCTGTCCCCAGACGGCACGCAAATAAACTTTAAAATACCCCTACTTAGAAAAGTGGGCCAGCATTAATGTTCATGTGGGAGCCAATTGGGGAATAGTAATAGTGTTACCATCGTTCCCGCAATGAAATTACGGTTTTGTTCTTATCTATATTTTTTATGTTATATGCACATGTTTCTCTTACAGATCGTACAAAAATATACCGTTTTCTTTTAGAAACGTAATAACAAACAAACTTGATTGAACTGTAAACAAGAAAAATATAGCTGTTTCTCCGTGAAGCATTACATACTTTCAATAAACTTGCTAACTACATATTTCTTTTGGACTAGATAAATATTGGGACTGACAAAATGCAGAAGAAGATAAGTCGTCAATATATGAAGCAGATTTTGACGAGTACGTGAATGGAAAGAAAAGTAAATTACCATCTCATAGCAAGAATGGGTGATTAAATAACAACATGGTTAAAAACATGTTATATATTCAGCAAGAAAGAAAGTAATATAAGAGAACCACATTATTTACAAGTTTCATGAGTTAGTGTATGATGAATATAAGGTGTAAATTGAAAGACTATAACATGTCACGTGAAAACACTTGGTTAATTAATTTGAAACGTTACTGGTTGCTTTATTAAGCCTTTTCTATATACATATCTCTATAACACTCCACAAGATGCTATAAGTGAGGAGATTAAATCATATATCTGTTAATTTGCAAGGAATCGCGAAGAATAAGGATCTCGCCACTCCAACTTTCATAAGGGCACGATAGTGAGCAATCATCTTGTACAAGCTTTGTTATTAAATACAATTGCTTTGATCACCGTTTCATCAACCGATAGGAAATACATCAATCACTGATAAAATCTGTGGCTAACTGCTATTGATGACAAGTTAATATGTTGGTCAGAATTGCACACCTCTATCTATACCCTGGCAGGCCGATTAACAGTCTGAAAATCGCTTATCTTTGTTGTAAAGAGTAGTGTAAGATATCGGTGTTGGTTGTGCTTAAACAATGGATTATGAATATCTGGAAACGTGTGATGAGATCTGACGAGTCCATTTCACATTTGTAAAGATAGAGAAAATTACATCATGTAATTGTCCGTGTTTGTGTTGTTCCTATAGTGCAAAATGTTAGAGGTAGTATTAACAATGGCAGGACCTTTAATTCCTTTAGAAGAGTCAGCAGATAATATCTAGATTATCGTATTGGAAGACCCCTATTTCATCAGTGTAGAAATGATCAATACCACGCTCGTATTGATTGAACTTTAGCTTTACAGGAAAATCAGTTGTCTTTTTTTTTTACCATCGGTATCTCCAGATCTTAATTACTAAAATTGCGCATACTTACGATGTACTTGAAGGTCGCAATCCCCACCATAATCCTTTGTGACATTTATTAGCCATTATCAGTACACATTCTTTGACGAATAAGCTAAAATCGAACATAAATCTTCCTACATCTTTTGGAGACTTTCGCACCGAGTCCTGCATATTGTCGCAGTGAAAGCTGCCCCAATCAGATATTAAGCAATGTGTCCAGTCAGTATGATAACCTACATTAGTTTAGTGAATCAGTTAGCATGTCTATTGTTTAGAACATGGACATCAAATGATAGCGATGTATGGAATGAATGTCATGGCTATAGTTTTATTGCAATTTTGTCAGACAAGCATAAGTACAGAATACTTTCTTTTCTAAAGGCACATTCTAGTTGTACTTTAGTTTACACGGGATAATCGAAACCCGTGATTATTAATAATGGTTGGAGACGGCTTGAATGGGTAATGAAAAAAAACACCTTAATATAAGTTTGACATAACAGCAAATGTACAACGTTTCGACAAGGTTTTGTCATCATCAGGT